ATAAGTGATGGTCTACTTCTGTGAAACAGATGCTTGATGGTCTGGTGAAAAGAATAGCTTTGGACTTTGAAGTCGATAAGATTGCAAAAGGAGCCAAGACGTCCAAGGATGCTAAGATCTCTGAAGTAGGAGCTGATATCGAAATGCTAGTGAAGCAGCCATGAAACCCGTGTTTCCCTAGGTAAAATGTTGCTTTGAATGTGAGAACAGTAAATGCAGCATTTCCCTCAATTGTTCTTGATCCTGTTCTTTCTTAGTGATAGGTTAGGCAGATGGAAAGGGACCTCAGTTAATCGATAGCAAGACCCTTTAGAAGCCCAGTTCTTGGCTTGCTTGTATGAGTTAACTTCCGCCCATGCACTAAACATTAGAGAAACATAGTTTCTTTCAACGGCTAGAAACAACTATCACAAGCGGATTCTCGAAGTTGTTGGTTCATATCGCCTTTTTAGCGGTTACATGTACCATTCCGTGCAAACTTGTGCCCGACAATGTGAACCAAGAACGTGCTTTCTTGTTTGAGTACTTGCAGCGAGCAGTGAAATCAGAAGGCTCACAGATGACAGAACTAGTAGCTTAAGCAGCAACAATTGAGCCCCTGTTTCGCACTTTCTCGTACTAACAATCAAAACACGGTTTCATCAGCTTGGTAATGTCGTTTGAAGGATTTGAATCACGATTCAATAGTTTTTATTGCTCGACTCCTCCTCTCAAACTTACAACTGAAGTTGTATTTACGACAGTCTGTCAGAAGAGCCCGAATTTCGCTTAGGCAGCCCTGTTGTCTTCTTCTTCTTCCACCTAGCATAGAATCTCTGGTCGCTCCACATCAGCATCATATTCAGCTTCACCCTAACGTTCATGTCCTTCAAATGCAAATGCCTCGGCACAATCCTCTTCTCCAAGCTAAACCCGAAATACTGCGGAAACTCCTTCAACTCGTCCAACCCTCTATCCATCTCCTTCACAAGGTAAACATACTTGCGCCTCAAGTTATTCTCCACACTGTACTTGAATATCGCAGGCATCCTCGCACAGCACCTCGCCGCCTCCTCTTCCGAGAACCCTATGCTCCTCAAGAACTCCACCTTGGACTGCAACTTCCCGACTCGAATGTTCAACAAATAGGCATTCAAGATGCTCGGCACGTTCAAATTCTCCACCCCGATTCGCCTGAGGTAGTCCAGCGTCGGCCGGAGACAGTGCTCCGCATCGGAGAAGAGAATGTCGGGGCATCGGGTGATCAGACCCCGAGACTGTTCAGGGGAAGCTCCAAGGTCGGAGGTGAGAAATTGGAAGACGGGCTCGATGTAGGAGACGTCGAATTTGGGGGAGAAGAGCTCGGGGCCGATGGAGGCGAGGCGGGGGAAGTCGGCGTTGGAGAAGCCCTTGGATTTGAAGAAGTCGACGATGGAGATGATTTTGGAGGTGGAATCGGGAGATGGGAGCTTGTGGAGTTGTGTGTTTGGGTGGACTACCCCTATGGATTTGAGGTACCGGAGATGCTCGCGGCGGGTTGTGTCGAACTTGATGTGGATCGGCGGTGGTCCTGGTGGCGGCGATGGGAGCCGCCGGCGGGAGGTGAAGGGTTTGGAGGAAGTGGAAGAAGAAGGCTGGAAGGATAGAGAGTGGAGCATTCTTGCGAGTTCAGTGCTCTGTTTTTTTGTGGGAGGGAAAGGACTGTGTGGCCGTGGCCGTGATTTTGGGAAGATAATTGAAAACTGGTTAAGTTTTTTTAAATTATAATATAGTTTGTATGATAAAATGTTATCAAATCGGGGATGTAGCTCATATGGTAGAGCGCTCGCTTCGCATGCGAGAGGCACGGGGTTCGATTCCCCGCATCTCCAATTTATTTATGTTTTTATCCACCATTTTAACACGTGGCAACTGCTAAATGGTCCACGTCACCTATTTTTTAAATGAAATATCCGCCATCTCTTTTCTACCTGGCATCTGCTAAATGGTCCACGTCACTACGTTCTACATTATAATTTCCGGATAAAAGGAATTTGAAAAATTGGTTGTTCCACCACCAAACTCTGATCTTTTGGACTCCAAGAAGAAAGCCTCAGAGCTCCATTAATGGAGGTTCTTATGACTCCGGCGGGAACGCTGCACCAATCTCCCTCCAGACTGCATTTCCTCAAGCCTTGTCACAATTTCGTCAACTCCACCTTCAAATTCAAGCCTCAACACCTCTACACATCCCGCAACCGCTCCAGAACCCAACTCCCTCCTCCGTTAACCTTAATAAACTGCAAGCTGAAATCCTCTGGAGAAGTCATGAAGCAGAACGCTTCTAAGAAGATTGAGCTGTGGAATTCCGCTCCGCCGCTGTCCGAGGAGGCGGAGAAGAACGGCGGCAGCGGGAAGGAGGAGGATCCCGTCAAGGCTGGGAGTGGAAGTAGTGCGGTGTCGCGGTCGGTGAAGAAGTTGTCGAGGAAGGTTTTGTCTCTGCTGTCTAATTTGCCTCTGGCCATCGGAGAAATGTTCGTGATTGCTGCGCTTATGGCTCTTGGTAATTGCCAGAAAATTTTGGAATCGCTCCTTTTGCCGCATTTTATACTACCTGAATTTCACTCTTTTTGCTGAATCATTATCGTCTTATCGTGATTTAACCCATTGTGTTTGGATCGTTGGTACGCCATTTTGACTTCCGATACGAGTTCACAAGCATTCTTCTGCAGGTACAGTGATTGATCAAGGTGAGACACCGGAGTACTATTTCCAGAACTACCCGGAAGAGAGTCCTTCATATGGGTTCATTACGTGGAGATGGGTTCTCGCCCTTGGTTTTGATCACATGTTCTCGTCTCCTGTTTTCCTGGCAACTTTGGCGCTTCTCGGAGCTTCTCTAATGGCTTGCACGTACACAACTCAGATTCCCCTCGTTAAGGTCGCAAGAAGGTTTGATTAGTTTGGTACTTGGTAGTAGTGAAATGACGACCACACGCTAATAAAGATGATAACAGATTGCTAATTGTTCACTGACTGGCACTACTACTTCAATTCATTGTGGTATGTGCAGATGGAAATTCATGGACTCACCTGAGGCTGTTCGTAAGCAGGACTTCTCCGAAACATTGCCCCTGGCGTCAGTTCAAGATTTGGGTGTGATCCTGATGGGATCTGGATATGAGGTAGATTACCCTTCTTCAATCTGTAAAATGACTAATAGTGATTTTGTTGTGTATGGTGGTGCTTACTGAGCATGGATTTGATTTGATCATCAATGTAGGTTTTTCTTAAGGGGCCACGTCTATATGCATTTAAGGGTCTCGTGGGTCGGTACACCCCAATTGGAGTACACTTAGCCATGCTGCTGATAATGGTGGGTGCAACTCTTAGCGCCACAGGAAGCTTTAGGGGATCGGTTACAGTTCCACAAGGGTTGAATTTTGTTGTAGGAGATGTGCTGGGACCAAGTGGGTTTCTCTCCTTTCCTACTGAAGCTTTCAGCACTGAGGTTCACGTCAACAAGTTCTCCATGGACTACTATGAGAGTGGAGAGGTACATCCCATCTTTATCTGTTTTCAGATGATCAAGCTTTTCTTGACCGTTAATAGTAGCAACTCATCTCATCAAAATAACTTGTGTGCATCATTGTTTTCTATAGGTTTCGCAGTTTCATACGGACCTATCACTGTTAAATCTTGATGGGAAGGAAGTTATGAGGAAAACAATCAGTGTGAATGATCCTCTACGTTATGGCGGGTTTACAATTTATCAGACTGACTGGAGCATTTCAGCATTGCAAGTAGTCAAAGATGGGGAAGGACCTTTCAATCTGCCAATGGCGCCACTAAAAGTAAACGGGGATAAGAAACTCTACGGGACAATCTTACCAGTTGGGAGTATTGATGCTCCTAACGTCAAGGGAATGTACGCATGCCCTGTCAATCTATTAGTTTCTGTTTCTGTTCCTTTTTGTTTTCCTGTTACAAATCTGGCTTTCTAACTTGATACTTACGTAAAAAGGTCTTCTGCTTGAACTACTTTCCCCCCCTTCAGATCAATGCTTGCTCGTGATCTACAGTCCATTGTGTTGTATGATCAAGAAGGGAAATTCGTTGGAGTTCGACGACCTAACTCCAAGCTTCCAATTGAGATTGATGGGATGAAAATTATTATTGAAGATGCAATTGGAAGCAGCGGTCTTGAGCTTAAGGTATGACTTTGCTTTGAGGTATTTGAACCATTATGAAATTAATATTCTTCGAACTAGTTCGAAAACCAAACTTTACCCACTTGCTACTTTGAATCAGACTGACCCGGGAGTTCCAGTAGTGTACAGCGGATTCGGTGCTCTAATGCTCACAACATGCATCAGCATCTTATCACATGCACAGGTTGGTATTCTGCTTTTGCAGACTATCTGATATTTTTTGCTTACACTAATTTGATCTGCTTTTGCAGATGGCTCTATGAACATTAATGCTGTTCTTGATTTCTTTGTTGTCTTTCTTGGCTTCAAATATTAATCGGTTGTCTGTCTTCTTGTTCCTGTTTCTCTATTCAACAAGATATGGGCTTTACAAGATGGAACATCATTGGTTATTGGAGGCAAAAGCAACAGGGCGAAGGGTGAGTTCGAAGGGCAGATTAACCGATTGCTTGATCAAGTACCAGAGCTGGTCGAGTCATCATCATCGTTGGTCACTAAGCAATCTAAAGACATGGTCGCTGCAGCCTCCTTCACTGATCCAAGTGCCAGACCCAGTTGATCGCATCCCGCTAGCTAGGGTCAGTGTCTAGTTCTTGGGGACCTTGAATCGCAAGGAAATGTGCATGAGCATGGTTCATACTTCATAGGGAGAGCTGTTAGAGGTTTTGAAAAGTTGTGCAGAGAGAGCCATAAACCTAAGTCTCAGTTTGACAGCATGCAATAACATAAAGGGTCCTACAAAATACTGGTTATGGCATATACAAGCTTCCACCTGAGGATTGAAGACGGCCTAAGACGAGTATTTTTCTCTGTGTTTATAACTACTGTAAACCAAGAATAGAAGGAAATTGTTTGAATGTATAGTTAAAGAGGGCTAGATTTCACCCATTTTCCAGTACATCAAAGAAAAGAGAAAAACAAAGGAACCCAGCTCCAACTGCCTTCCATTCATTCTTATTATACAGAGTGATTACCCGAAGCTCGTATCACTGAAGATATTCCCAGACTTCTCCTAATCAATAACCCTTGCCGTCGGAATCTGATGATAATGAAATCATGGGAAAATCTTGCGCCTCCGTCGTGGAGTCTCTCGCTTCACATATACTTTCTCTGTCTCGTTTAGAGGTCGGCTGGAGCCATCTGGTAAACTTACAAACTTCCAGCCACCGCCACCTCCACGCTTTCCTTGAGGGCCCATTTTCTCCACCGTGAAGTTCCAGCCTTCAGATGGGCGCCGCCTACTATATTTGTGGCATTTAACCTTCCCAGCAATCTGTAACAAGGGACATCGTTATCATCATATGGAAAGCAGGCTTCTTCCACATACCACACACACTTGCCAAAAGATATATGGATCATATTGCCGAGGTCACAAACACAACAATTAAACCACAGAAGATCCATATTCCACTGGCGTGGAGTCACTATATTGTTAACAACCACCTTCACAAAGATTTTCACACCCGACAACCCGCCAGAACTCACAAAACAAAGCAAGAACGAAAATTTCTCAACTTTCCCTAAATCGCTTCAGAAATACAAGTTGTGCTTCTTTTACACACAACATCGGAGGGGAATGACAAGTAGAGGAGATAAGTCCAAATGACCAAGAAGTTAAGGCACGAAATGGCTAAACAAGTCCAGATGGAAAGCAACTTTTCACCTTACAGTATAAAATGGTCGAAAGCATTACGAAACTTACTTTCATTTTGTTGAATTCCATCCTCTGGACAAACTCTTGGTACAGCATTTCATCTTCTTTCATGGATATCTCATAGTGGACTTCATCTGGATCCCGAGTTGTACCATCCCAACCCTCGGGCATCACCTTGAAATCAGGTTTGTAAGGAAGAGATGCTACATGAAACTCTCTGTCATGGGAATTGAAAAATCTGCCAGAGCAAGAAAAGAAAAGACCAGGTTAAAATAGTGTCTGAGGAAACTCAACTATATTGGTCATATAACTGATGAAATGTTCATGCTCGCCGTTGAAACTAATGATAAATTCTTGGCATTCTATGAGTGCTCTTTGACCACACGAAACATCGGATATTGGTGACTTACTCTGGGCAGGTATCAAGCAAAAGTTCGACTGAGTCATCGTGGATACGACCACGCTTTCTCTCCTCTTCCTCCTCTTCCTTGAGCCAGAGAATGGCATGCACTCTCTGCCTCATGATTCTGTAGTCCTTGGCAAGCTTCTCAACAGTGTACACTTCAGGGTTCTCTTTGTGCAACCGATACATCTCTGCCTTCTCTGAATCCTTAAGATAAGATCCTCTAGCACCAGGCTCCTCTACTTGCTTCAACAACCCACTTATTTCGCGTAATCTCTCCCCCATCCATTAACAAAAGCCCTCCCTTTCTTGTTCTCTGCATCCAGTTCGTTTAGCTTATCATCAAGATCCTGCAACTCAATATCTTCAACGACTGAGAAGCTGTGTTTTCCTTGCCAGTTGAACTTGCCATCTTGCCAACCATCTCCCCATCAAAATGATCCTTGGTCAATCCAGTTGACCATGATGAAACAGAGTCCCATCCCAGATCATCAGACCCGGTCGAACCGAAGGACGATCCACCTGCAGCAGAATTTTCCCAATCGTTCGTTCCCTGATTTCCACCACCACCACCACTACCGCCCGACTGTGAAGAAAAGCCACGTGCCCTAATGAATTGACTTGCTTCAGCACCAAATGCAGATGTAGCACTTGTTTCCTTTAGAAATCTCGATGCAGGTGTACTACTGCAAACCGTGGTTGAGGATAACCGAGATATTACGCGGTGAATAGTGTGCATATCTGCAGTAAACTACCCTGGATGGAGCAGATCAAAATCTCAGCACCACAACAGAAGCTCAGAAGTAACCCAAAAGCAGGATATACTCATCTAAGCAGAGTCATCAAAGGATCCAACAATCAACCACATTAGAAAGCTAACCAAAAACTCGAAGAAGACATCACATTTGTCTCACAAAGAATGATTCAGTCCCAAAAAAATCAGCCTAGCCCATACTAACTAAATCACCGGATGTTAGCAATTTGCCAATTTCACTTAACTCAGCATTTGAACATTACGAAAGATTACCCTTCCAAATGCCATTACAATGAAATGACAAATTGATTGAAAGAAATGAGCCTTTTCACTACTGTAAATTCAACGAACATTGAACTCAACCAAACAATTACCAGAGCGCCGCGGGGATCCACGAGAGCTTTTATCTGTGCTCCGCCGCGCAACCGAAGCTGCCACAACTGAGACGCAGTGAAGGAGGCAGTCACGAGAGGGGAGCCGAGCCGAAGGCAAAGCAGCTGGGATCAATGTGGGGAGAAAGTGGAGGAAAGAGCGGAAGGAAGATATATCTTCTTGGGAGTTTAGGTTAGGGTTTCGATTTGGACGGTTAGTTAGTTAGTTGCCAAAATAGGGAAAGAGCGGTTCGACCTGTCAACCGGATGAACCGCTTGAAATAAATAACTAATTTTTATTATCACTGTGTTGCGTATGTCTCTTCAGTCTTTTCTCTCTGTTCTTACCAGGGTCTTTTCTCTCTGTTTTCCGGCGGGGAACGCTTTTCCCCTTCTCTCCGTCTTTCGTCGAACTCGAAAGAGGCGAATGGAGCTGGGTCTCCGCGGACCGTAATATATAGCCGCCGGCGAATCCAAACGCCAGCAACTCACAGACTATTAGCCAACTGGCGATCCCCAAACGGATAAAGCTTCAGGTTACTTCCCAGAAACCCTCTGTTGCTTATATGGTTTTAGTTGTTACTTGTATTGGTTTCCGGTTGGATGGTTTTTGGACTTCGGATTGAGAAGGCTTCTTTTGATTGATTTCACTGTTCCTTGGAATGGGTATGTATTGCAGTGTTAACTCTGAATTGGTGCTCTTACTGAGAAGACCTAATTCATCGAACTGGAAGCTAGTCTTGGCTTCTTGGCCTGGTTGGACTTGCACGCAAACTGTTTGGTGAATTGCATGTTTGAGTGTCAGGAACTCTTTCATCGTGGGCCTGAGTTGGTAATTTAAATAGTATGGGCGCAGTTGATGCGAACTCTGGTTCCCTTGCTGCCCATTCTTTCGTTTAATCTCTTATTTCCTCCTACTCACATGGTATAATAGACGGAGAAGGGCCACTGAATTGAACTGGGTTGTCTAGTTCAAGTAACTGGAGTATCACATGTTGAAACAAGCGCTTGGCAAAGTCCTGGGCGGGGAAGTTCTGTCGACCTCAAGCAGAAAGCTTGGACCTTTCTCAAATGCAGCAATTGTGGGCTTCCATACTGGACAGGTACTTCCTTTTTCCTTCACCTCACCATCCCATGACTTGTGCCAATTGCCATAGAATTTTGAGACTTTGAGAAGTAGATGGATTTTAGGAACTAATAGATTGTTTGTTATATACTTTTGTGATAGATCGTTATATGTAGGTTCTGTATGGGTTGGGTTCATTATTAAGTGTGGAAGTAGCAACTGTTGATATCTTTCTTGTTAATATTGAGGAGAATCTGGTACTTGGATTGATGAATTTCTGATGGGGGTGAGCTATAATTTATTACAAGTCCATAAAGTTATTTTCCAAGTGCATCAAGCTCTCCTTCTGCTTGGTGAACCAAATAATGGAGTTAAACAAACATCAACACATGAATTCTGGCATGATCAATCACTGCAAAATCTGCAATACATCAGCCAAACACGGCCTATGAGAAAATTTATTGTATCAGGATTGTACGCAAATGGACAACTTTCTGCCTTGACTTAACTTTGAAAATTTGTTTCATACCATACTGACAAGACACAGAATGCCCCAAGAAGCTTCTTTGGGGTAGAGGATTTTCTGGACGATGAAAACAGCAGGCCGTACACTTTCCAGAAGGGTAAAGTATCAAATAACCCGAACAAGAACATCTCTTTCAAGCAAAGGACACAAGCATTCCTGGAGCCGTTCACACTGGACGTGTTCATCTCGAAGCGGTTCGTGTCAGCATCGCTCACTCACAGGGTGACGAGCAAGCAAGTTGCAGTGGCTGGGACGAACTCCAAGGACATCAAGGCCGTGCTGAAGTCGAGGTCGGACGTTCCTGCCTGCCTGGCCATTGGCCGGATTCTGGGCGAGAGGGCAAGGGAAGCTGACGTTTACACTGCTGTCTACACTCCTAGGGAGAAGGACAGTTTGAAGGGAAAATAAGAGCTGTGGTTCAGTCTCTCATTGATAATGGGATTGGTGTTAAAGTTTACCTTGACGGATCGAAGTAGCTTTGTTCTGATTAACTGTGTTCTTTTCTTCAGTGGTCGGGTTGTAACAACATTAATGCGGAATCATGAATGAGTCTTGAGATGCTGTTCTGTAACACGAGAAGATTTTTAAGGATATGCTGCTATTAGGGTAGCAATTTCATTTTGCTGACCATTTGAACATTAGGAACCATTACCCTTCCAAATACCATTGCAATGAAATGACGCAATCCGGTCGAAGAAATGAGCTTTTCACTATTGTAAGCTCAGTGAATTGAGCTGAATCAAACAATTACCAGCACGAGGAGAGTTGAGGCGGCGTTGGAGAAGCGGCTGCCGGAGAGAGGAGTCGCAGGCAAGGCAAGCAGCTGTGATCAATGGGGAAGATGGAGCAGAAAAGGAAGAGGTCTTGGGGTTTTAGGTTAGGTTTTGATTTGAACGGGTTGTAGCTGGTTTAGGTGCCAAAAAAGGGAATGAACGGTTTGACCGATTAACCGGACGAACCACTTGTAAATTATTATTTATTCATTAAATTTATTATTATCCCAGAGTCGCGTTGGCTCTTCTCTCGTTCTTTCTCAGTGGCACGATTTTCTCCTCCTGTCTCTTGTCTTTCGTCGAGAACTCGAAAGGGCAAAATTCCAACACATACCACAGACCTCTCCGGCGATCATGGCGTTCAAGCAGATCCTGAGCCGCGCTCTAAGAAGCCGCCCTGACCAGATCCTCTCGTCCCCGTCCGCTTTCTCCGCCGCTAGGGCTTTCTCTTCGGCTCCAATCACGGCCACTCTCTTCCCCGGCGACGGTATCGGCCCCGAGATCGCGGAATCTGTGAAACAGGTTTCCTTCCTCGCTTGTCTCTCCTTTCCTTGTTTTCCCTCGCAAGTGGCGTCCTTCTTGCAGTTCTCGCCGTGGTTTTATGATATTTTGTATGGAATTTTAGCTTTGATTCGATTTGATTTTCCTTGAATGGCAAAGTGAGCGTGATTGGACTTTGTTTGGTGGTGTGCACTCGTCTTTCGTCGGCCTGAGATGGCAATTGCTTGTTTCGAGATTTCGCTGAGAAAGCATCATATGGTGAAAAGTCAGTTTTTTGTTTTCTTCCTTCTATTTGTTTGGTTGGTGATGAATGAAGATGACGTTCCATCCTTTGCGTGGTCAAGCTTGGAAATATCTGGTCTAGCAAGGTGCATGCAAGGGCCAAATCTAGGACCAGGAAACATCCACATGAATCGAAAGCCGTCTATGTAATTATATGAAGCCATTCTCAAGTAGCTGGAGTTTCCGTGAACTCTTGGACAGAAAAATAGACGTACCACCATGAAGAACTGTTTGGGGAAATAAAGCTCATAGCTTGCAATAAATAAATAGCTGTTTCCCTTTCATTGAATCACTAACTTGCTGAGAAAGGACTATTAAAGGACGATGTGTATCATGACACTTCAGTCTGAATGGTCAGTGGAGTTTTATAGGTACATGAAAAACGTGGAGTCACTTTCACCCTACTGGCTAGCCTGAACATGTTTTTGTAGGAATTCTTGAATTCTAGCAAATCAAACAGAGAATCGTTACTCCTATGGATAGAATGTCACCTGAGGAAATTCTCAATATGAGGTGGAAGATTGTGTTTGTTTGCCTCATTGTGGAATTCTTCTCTAATTTGCTTGTAGCAATTATGCTTATTGTTTGTCATATATCTATATGATTGAGTGTGGGTACATACAGATTTTCAGGGAAGCCGAGGTACCAATTGAATGGGAAGAACATTATGTTGGGACCGAGATAGATCCTAGAACCCAGAGCTTTCTGACATGGGAAAGTTTAGAGTCGGTGAGAAGAAACCGAGTGGGTCTGAAAGGGCCAATGGCTACACCAATTGGAAAGGGCCATCGTTCTTTGAATCTCACTCTCAGGAAAGAACTTAACCTGTACGCCAATGTCAGGCCTTGCTACAGCCTTCCTGGTTACAAAACCCGGTATGATGACGTGAATCTCGTCACCATTCGTGAAAACACTGAAGGAGAGTACAGTGGACTTGAGCACCAAGTGAGCTTTCTTTCTGGTTTTGGCTAACTTGCACCTAGCCAACCTTGATAAACTTTGACATGATGGTGATTTTTGGTGAGTAGGTGGTGAGAGGTGTGGTTGAAAGTCTCAAGATCATTACTCGCCAGGCAAGTTTGAGGGTGGCTGAATATGCTTTCCACTATGCAAAGGCTCACGGAAGAGAGAGAGTTTCTGCGATTCATAAGGCTAACATCATGCAGAAAACTGATGGTCTTTTTCTTAAGGTAAAGATACTGTTGATCCTTCTTATACGAAGCACAGCTATTCTTTTTGTTGGTTTTTGTTTTTCTATTTTGTTCAACGCTGGTGTAATGGGCTTTGCAGTGCTGCCGTGAGGTTGCTGAGAAGTATCCTGAGATCACATACGAAGAGGTTGTCATTGACAACTGTTGCATGATGGTATGTGAAATTACAATAACTGCCGCACCCTCTCTTTCATGCTTTAGTTTAATTGAAGAACATTGAGACTGTCCAATGGCCGTTGAAGTTTGCATATTTAA